TTAATAAAATCAAAATTTTACATCATATGAAGGTGACAAATGGATCACTCATTATGAGTCATTTTAATATTGTATGCATCTTATTAATTTTTGAGCACATTTCATTGAAAACACAAAATTTTAAACACTCAAAAATTTGAACGCATATGGTAGCTACTATCACATTTTGGATTTCATTGACTTTGTACACTCCACCTATGTTATTATGTCATATTGTGTATAATTACTTTGTAGTTTCTCTTCCAAATCATTGGTTAATTTGGTTGCTTCTTTTATTTCCTTTAATTCCACTAGTGTACATTCCTCTTCATTTTGATCCTCCTATCAGTAATAAGTATTACACTATACACTAACAACTAATCCTGATCAACACTCTAACTTTTAAAATTATTGTATAATAGTGACTAATTTTGGAGGGAATAAATTTTCGTGAATTTGGCATTTTGATAACCTATTGCCAAATTAAAGCTCCATCATTTTAAGATGCTCAATGACCATTTGATATTCATAATAATTTGTTCGATAATAATATTTATCACTAACCTTAGTTTTTTTTATTAATGACAGTTCTTGTATTTCTTCTTTCATTTTATTCAATTCCTACATGCACATATTATAATGAATCATGCAGTGATTAATACTCCATCAATAATCTACACTAATATAACAACACACTCCAACAATAAGCTCTTATACATTGAAGTATTAATTCCTCCTATACATGTAATACTAACAAACAAGTACCTTTTCTTTTTCACTAAGTATGTGTGTTAGTTGCTGTGCAGTTTCTTTAAGTTCTTTCTGTCTCTATTGATTATAATATTAAAATAATCAAACACAAATTATTATACCTTTGTATCATGAGGTTGTTCCTTTATCTCCTGTACCTCCTCTTCCAGTGGTTCCTGTATTTCCTTTATAATACAGTATATAATGATAATTACTGACAGTATATATACACATACTTGTATCTTTTGTTTCTTCCATATTGTGCAGTATCCAACAGTAAGCTTCATTAGACCATTATTTATTAATAATTCAAGATTCTCACTCAATTTTATAATGAGAGCTCCAGTGAGAGAGTGAGGGAAGGAGCAAGTGACCACAATGGAGTATCCGGTATCAATATACTTTATCGTCACAAATTTACCAGATGTTTTGGAAAGAATGTCAGTAATATCTTTTAATTTCTTTTCATCAGGTCTCCAGTCAAAGACGTAAGTTGCTGATTCACATTTAAGAGAAGGGCTTGTATTGACAGCATCAAACTTCTCCTTCAAGCAAAGATCAAGTGAAATTGAGTGACAGAACTCTTCCAGTGTTGCCTTGTATTGCTGCATGACTTCCTTTGCTTCAGTGACTTCAAATTCTTCAACTACAGTTTCTAACAGTTCAATATCAGTCAATGAACACTCTCCTTCAATCACATACACTACACTGGATATATCATTGCACTCAGCTAGCTTTCCTTTTAGATCAGAGTTGCATAAGATAATTAAAATTTTGATGTCATCTATAGAAGGAGATTTCTTCAATATAGCTTTGTGTACTTTATACAGCATCCTTCCAAGTGAAGCTCTCATTGAACTGAATTCTCTTGATTTACTCTTTCGAACAGGAATTTCAACTAAGGATTAATCATATTATTCATTGTTTTAATCATCAATGAGGTACCTGTTGGTGCAGTTGGTGTGTGAGGTGATGATGGTGTGATTGTTCTAGTGCTTGAATCTAAAAAATGTAATTAATAAAAATAATAGCATTATTTTACCTTCATTTATTTCAATAGTAACAAATTCGTTCTTAGAAAATTGTGTATCTAAAATTAAAAGAACTAACAATAGTTCTATACTTTAACTCACCATAGTCTCTTTGTATAACTGTTCCTACTTTTACATTACCAGTGAACTTGCACAACACACTAGCAAATGTTTGTAGTAAACTATACTTGCTTTCAATAGCTACTATAATGGCAGCTAACAGGACTTCACGTTGATTAGGAACAGAGGGACTAGCTGATTCCACACTAGCCAATACTTGTCCTGTTATGACACCCTCTCTTTGAAGCATAATAGCTACACTGACAGGATCAGAGAGAGACTGAGAGAGGAATGGACGATGAGTGTTGAATATATCAAGAGCCAGTACTAAACATGCACTGTGTTCTAGATAAGGAATACACACACACAGTCAATGCTAATACAATCAGTGATATTAACTTACTCTCTTGATCTAACTTGTCAGCTGCAGCATTCTCATTCATAGATTTAAGAGCATCTGACAGTGAGTCAAAGGTAGCTCCTCCTTTACTGTCAACATTATCAGCGTCTGGACAACCACTGGGAGAGGCATTCAGTTAAACACTCATAGGTTGTATCATTGTCCCTTTTAATGATGTCCAGTGTGTTCTTGTGTAGTCCTAGTGTCAGTCCTAGTTCCTTCCATCTCCTCTGAGGGAAACCACATCTCTTCAACAGATTAAGTACATCAATAAGTTGATCTAAAATCATATTCAATGATACATAGATAGTTAATGAACATTACCAATAGTCAAAGGAGAAGAGAAGAGACTCAGAGAAGCTTTAGTCGAGGGTTTAGTTGCCATTACAAGCTTCACCGGATGCAACATGCAAGCTTTGCAAAGGAATGAAATGGAGGAGCTCGTTTTAGGGCGGGGCTATGTACGAGATCTTTAACCCTCAACATGGCGGTATGTACAAGCTACGCCCACAATCGCATGGCCACAGATGAGATAAAGTCTCGGATAAAGTTGAAAAGATTAGCTGAAAAATTGTGTCAGAAAGAAGCTTGCGCCATTCAATACTGCCTGCAAGGTCAGTATACTTTATAATAAATCAATATTCCTTTATTAATGTCAGGTAGTAATTACCAGGAGGATAAGTGTACAAGGGAGAAACAGGCTCTCATTGACTGCTGTAATAAATTGAGTCAAAATATTCTGGAACATTCTACACACTGTGGCCTCTCATCAATAAAAAAGAAATAAAATACTAACAATAGGATAATAATGGACAATAGTAACAGACAGAATAATAGCTTAATGGTAAATGGAAATGTATTGATTGTACTGTACGTACAGTGTATGTACAGGTATTAATGTACATTGAGTATTGATGTACATGTTTTGTCATGCTCCTTACTTCAAGCATTACCGTATAGCATTACTTACTATTACTGTATAGCGGGAAATTTTGGATGGAATTAAATTTGGCTAATTTTGCATTTCAATAGCCATTCGCCAAAATAAATCCACCATTTTGAGCCATCATACATGTATGAATGCTCAATAGCACATGGCCACAAATTCGCCAAATTAAAATTTGCCAATCACCAATACAAATTCGCCAAATTTTAGTCCCTCAAAAATTTCTCACTATATGGTAGATTTTAGTAATTTTCCTTTTGTTGCTATTAATAACGATAGCTTAAACTATAGAAAAGCATACCCACCATGAAATGTCATTATTTTAAATGAATGATAATTGAAAACTTAATTAATCATTTAATTGAATTAAATGATGACTAATAATTAATATTAATAATGTTTGTTATTAATAGTGAGAATTGACCTCTCTTTCTCTATTCTCTCTCTCTTTCTCAGGATTATGTTAAAGCTAATCGTTCAAAGAGTTTACAGTTTCTATTAAGAATCATTACATTAACTTGTGGACTATTGTTTATATTATCAGGAATAATGTGAGACAATTAATGAATAATAGCTATTGATGATAATAATGATAAGTTACTGTACAAGCAAGATCATTAATTGGCGAGGAATTAATAGGCCATTCTATGCAGAAATTGCCAATATATCCGCCATTGTGGTTTTAGTCTGAACACACACAATGGCATGTGGCACAAAATGGCCAGCATAAAATTCACCAATTAACTTTCCACAGACAAATTCGCCAAATATTACTCTCGCCAATTAATCATCTTGTATGGTATGATGATAATATTGTCCTCTTCTCTCTCTCCCAGTGTTTCACCATATACTGGTGTGTCCTCCTATTATTATGCTTTCCTTTCTTCTTTGCTCACTTTTGGTATTCAACTCAACAAGAGAATGACAGAGAACCAGGCAAGAAGTTATTTTCAGTTATTGTTTTCAATATTCATTATAATAACAACCATACAATGTTTATAATATTGTTATTAAGTACATACAAAGGATTACATGTATTTACA